ACAATGGTGCACATGGCTCCAGTATACTGGGGAACAAATGGCGTACGAAACCAATCGAGTTCACAGGCTACCATGGGACTTCATTCCTTACGATGCTCCATGCCTTGTCGGTCAGACTTTAGGCAAGGCTCTGGGTGTGGCCCCTATGAAAAACCACCTGTTTTCGGTTTGGGCACCCGGTCAGTATCACAGCCCTCACATATCAAATGAGATCTGTGTGGCCATATCTATTTGGTGCCTCCTTGTACCAATGTTTATATGTTTAAATAAATAAATAAATAAAAAGTGAACTAGCATAAGTTTACAACCATAAATTAGGCAAACGGGTAACTGTTAAGGATGCTAAATACCTTTAATGAGTCCTAAGAGAGATCAACTAGATAATGTTTCTTTAGTGACTATTCAATATGGTTTCAGAAATTTGAACAGAAACAGTGATGTACTCACTAAATCAAGATATTTAAAAATTGTCCCGAAAAATTTGTCTTCTCATTCATGTTGATTACTGTTTACGATTAATCTCTGGATCCACCATTAAAACATCAAGCTTACAACCGAATACCTCCAAGATCAGTATTATATCTTGAAAAAGCAGATAATTTCCATCATGCTTTGTATAGATTATAAAGTAGAAAAAGTTTTACTGAATATTACCCTTCATTCCAAAACGTTATAATGATAACAAAGAACTATATTTAGTGAAAACACACAATTATTATTCCTGTTAAGAAACTGAAAACATAGTTAAATTAATTTTGTATTGTTTGTTTGTTCAGGACTGTTTAGGACTGCAATTGATTAGTCTCTTATTAGTATATATGGATTTCGTGTAGATTGCCTCGATACTGCCTTAAGTTACAAGCTTTATAAGCAAGGATGAATGATGGCTAGCCGTAGAATCCAGAACGCGTGTTTCGTCCTATTTTAGACTCGTCAGCTGGATGCACCTGCATCTCAGAGTTGATGTTCACTCAAGGACTCGAAACCAGTGCCGCTTGCTTCAAACGCCATCATGCTATCCACTTAGCTACTGAGTCTTGATAGCCACTAGCTTGTGCAAGGGGGTGAAATAGAAATTCATTTTGTATTGTTTGTTTGAACATCAGCTCTGAGATGCAGGTATATCCATTTGATGAGTCTCAAAGTAGAAGAAACGAGCGTCTTAAATTCCACTGCTAGTCATCATCTATCTTTGCTTATCAAAACATAACTGTTAAAAACTTGAATATTCATCATGATAAATAAAGATTTATAACTATGAAAAAGATTTGAGTATTATAATAAGATAAAACACCAAAGTTGAGACAGAACATAATCAGAAATGATCTGGAATCATAAATAAGTCGTTTATCTATGTGAGTGTGGAAGGGGGCTGGTTGTAAAATAAAGAATTTTTAAGTTTAGTCAAAAATGAAATCTCGAAGCCCATTAACAAGTAATAATAATTATTATTTAAAATAATTTAACACGAAGTGGTACATCTTTATTCTCTTCACAGCAAAAGTTCTATGTACTAAATTAATACCATTTTACTTAAGCATTTCTTTTTTTTCAGTTATAATTACTCTTCAAAACATAATACAATGATCCAATCTACATATTGAATGATATATTTATCAGTAATATATGCTGTATATTATATTAATTATTGAGGAAGTGCTGATCACATTTCTATCTGGATT